GATCAAAAATACAGGAAAAAAATTAATATTGTGAAATATTATTATGATGTAAAATAACGTTTTTCTATTTTAATATACATTAAAATCTAATTTATTCCTGTGATGCAAAGTTGAATTTTCAGCATCATTACTCCAGTCTTCAGTGTCACATGATCTTCAGAAATCATTCTAATATACTGATTTATTATCAGTGCTGGAAACTGTTGTGCTGATTCATATTTTTTTGGAACCTGTGATACCTTTTTCAGGATTCGTTGATGAATAAAAAGATAAAAAATAAGAGCATTTATTTAAAATAGAAATATTTTCTACAATATACACTACAGTTCAAAAGTTTGGGGACAGTACATTTTTATTCTTTCTTTTTTTGAAAGAAATTAAAACATGTATTCAGCAAGGATGTGTTAAATTAATAAGAAGTGATAGCAAAGATTTATATTGCTAGAAAAGATTTATATTTTGAATAAATGCTGTTCTTTTAAACTTATTCATCAAAGAATCCTGAAAAAAGTACCAGTTTCCAAATAAATATTTGGCAGCACAACTGTTGCCAACATTGATAATTCTAATAATAAATCAGCATATTAGAATGATTTCTGAAGGATCATGTGACACTTTATACTGGAGTAATGGCTGATGGAAATTCAGCTTTGCATCACAGAAATACATAATATTTGAAAGGATATTTAAATAGATACCATTATTTTAGATTCTAATAGCATTTTGCAAGATTACTGTTTTTTTTCTGTATTTTTGTAAATGTATTCATCGCACATACCATTTTTTTCATAGCATGTGTGACATATCGCACTGTACAGCCCTGGTTGAAATGAAACGAATGAAAACGAAGGCTCATGAGGCCGCAAACAACACGTTTAAAAAAACAAACAATTCACTGTTTGTATTAACCCGGCCGTTTAATCCCAAATTTTTCCCAGACATGAAAATATCCAAATGATGTGTCATTAGTAACCCTTTGAAATAATCAATAATAATTTTTCAAATTTTTTGGAAAACTGTGTGAAAAATTGTTTTATGGTCAGTCACAATTGTGACCGGTGGGATAAGGTGAGTACTGAATTAACATATTTCTGTAGTCATAATTTTTTTTATATATATATCTTAGCCCAGCTATTTCAAACTGTTTGATCACATTCTAGGGTTATTATTATGCATAAAAAAC